ATTGGCTCCATTGTTGTCATTACTGCTGCTGTTTTGTTATATTTAAACACTAAACATAAAAAAAAAACATGATTATAAATTCTAAGGGATGTTCTTTTTGTGAAGAACATCACAAAAAAAGGAGGGCTTTCAGGTGTATATATCTAAAAGTTAGCTCTGTTGCTAAAGAAAATCCGTTGTGCAACTTTGATGCTTTCTGCTATTATCCCTCTCAGATAGCATACCTTTCTCATACTATAATCCTCACCTTTCAAACTCAATTTCCCATTTACGCGAGCAGCGGTGGCCTGCAGAGCAATCAAATCCGACAATCTTCCAGGAATTGCTGAAACAAGTCAAGGCGAATTCAACAGATCCAGCAGTTTGTAGGGAGTTGAGCATCTAATTATCTGGTGCTGCTGGTCACTCCAAGCTGCTGTGATGTACCTCAGGCAAACAACTGCTGTCCCTGGAGAGAAAGGAAACTGCTGCAGAGATGGCTGAGAGTCTCTGCCAGCCAGAGTGTGTGGAGCGCAGTTTATTCTAATTCCTCTGCAGGACATTAATGAGCCACAATAGTGGCTGTTTTAATGAGCAGTCAGACAGATTTTTAAGAGCCTGATGGTTTGTAATCCAGCAAGGTGCTGTTGCACTGCTGCAAGGCTGAAAACATTTGTTCTTAGTAGACATTTTGCTTTACTCTTGTGTTTAGGCCAGGTAGAACAAAGAATATGTGCCCAGTGTGTTTTATAGCAGTCCTCTGGCAAAATTATGCCCAAACCAAGCCATTAAACTGATATTAATTAAACACATTCTATGGTACCATAAACCGGAGGGACTTAAATTCACCAGTGAAAAGCAAACAATCTTTACCCATCTTTAGATTTTGTCTGCTTCTTGTGTTTACTTTTGCTTCACGCGTCAGCAATCAAATGAGTCTCATTTCTTACAATTCAGACATGTGGAAAGTATTTTTTTCGGTGAAGTGAGCTAAGACATTTATAGCATAAAGTATTCATCTTCACTGACACCTTGGTTCACTGTAAAAATCCTTCCTTTATTCTCCTACAGCTTATCGCGCAAACTCCTGGAGTCCAAAACTCATCCATAAAACACAAAAACGTCATATATTTAAGCTTTCATAAGCAGCCAGTATGGAACTAGATGCTAACATTAAAATTATATGCTCTATCTTTATCTAATTGTCAACTTGCGTTGTACTATTTAAACTTAAATATTTCTTATTTTTTTATTACTTGGTTGGAAATCATACACTTATACCAATTGTTTGCTTTCAAGGTGAAAAACTAGAAATACATTCTCTGTTGTATTGTACCACTCAGGCCAGCTTTTACTCTCTTCTTTCATCAGTGATTCTTGACCCTGTTGGTGATTCACTACCGTTCCTTCCTTGGTCCACTTTTGATAAATACTGATTACTGTAAGCCAGGAATACTGCACAAAAGCTGCAGATATTTATTCCTTTGATCCAGTCATCTCACCATCAAGTTTTCCATTTTCAGTCAGTTCTTTGTGCTTGCCTGTTTTCTCCACTTTCCATATATCAATTTTGATGAAAAAAACATTCACCTGTCAGGGGTTACTATGCCTTAATATTGTATTTTGTCACTACTTATTCGTCCGATGTTTTCATCCTGAATGAAAACAATTTTTCAGGTAATTCTCTCAATTGAGTGAATAATTTTAAGAATACCTATGTGCATACATTCAGTAGGTGGCCTGTTTCAAACGCAAACACCAAAACATTTTAACCAAATGGACAAAAGCTGCACCGAACTAGATGCTGTACGGACACTCTAACACCAGTCGCATAATGCTTTCTGTCTACTGTGGCCGATAAAAGCCCACCTATTCTTCTTGTCCCTTACATTTGCCCTGCTGGTGCAGAGGATGGATGACTCCATGGCTGAATCTGCAGAGATGCTCAGATACTTTCAAAGAGAAACCTGCACCACACACGAACAGACTTCAAACGGAGATGAATTCAGCCCGGTGAAGTGTATTTTCAGAACCTGCATCTGTGAGTTGTCCGTGTAGGTAGACATGGTTCACCTGCGCCCACATGCTTCTGAAACAACTGCACTGTTGCCGATAGCCAGCAAAACATTTGTTTAGTCTCACCCCTGTGTCCTGTCAGATCTCATACATATCATTACACCAAGAAATGATGTGTGAAATGATGACTGCATGGAACAAGCTGAAGGAAAATCCTCCAGCTGCATTCATAATCAGGTTCACCTATACAAAGAAATAATGACAGCGGCTATTATCCACTCACTATTACTTTCTCAGCATAGTGTGGGTTATATATATGCTTTAAAGTCTATCATGCTGCTTCAATCCATTTAATTCAAAATAAGGTATTGCTGTAAATGTGAAACTGCCTCACGTTTTTGTCTCTGCTATTAGCTTCAAAGCTTTTGTTGTGTAAAGTCGTGTCTTTGCTCTCAAAAACTGCCAATTAGCTCATTTCTGCATTGTATCATAGTTATGATCAAATTGGACTGTAAGTAATTAAAAATCTTAAAGTCTAAATGACTGAATTGTTTCTCCCCGTGTCTCGGATTCTCTCCAGTCGATTTTTGACCGGGCCAGTCGGCAAACAGAAGGAGAAGTTGTGAAAGATGACGTTGATTTTCTACGCTGCTTTACAGTTTTAATCTGCCTGTAATTTTAGCAATGGTAGTGGAGGAAGTGAACAAAGCCGTTCTGTCCATGTTGGCCACACTTTTATTTTCATGACATTAAGCAAATATAATTACAAACTCGTATATGTGCAGCTATGTAATGTAGGAGCATCGTTTGTAGTTCTGACCCGTCAGCACTCGGCTAGCTCGGCCAGAATAAGGGCTGCAACCTTGAACTGAGAGTGAAAAGACAAGCTGCCCATCTCCATAAAAGAGATCTGTATCCTCCTTGCTGACATAGCTGGACGAAGGAGAAACAGAATATGTACCCAGGGTCAAAGAGTGCAGTGCAGAGCTATGCCAGCACCCATGTGAAAAAACAGCTGGGAACATGAACAGCATTGCAGTGTTGCTGTACTTTGCTACACAGGCTAAAAAAGCTAAGGCCAGGTGTTGCCTTGTTGTGTTCGCTCAGTTGTCTGTGGCTGAATCTAAACCGTTACGTCTTGCGCTGCGTTTCTTAGTGTAGATTAATTGGGACACGGCAGCAAACAAAAATACATTTGAGTCATTCCTCAACATTATATCACAGTTATACACTCTTCTCTACTTGAATGTCATTGACTGAACATGAAGGATATAACATATGTATTAATCATTTAGAAAACAAAGCTTATTTTTAAATGATGAATTATTCAAAAATAGTTTATATTTTTTGAACTGGGTTAATGACTGCAAGTTACTCTGAATGTTTGGTGACAAATCTCAACTCATGACCCATCTGCCAAATATCATGCTTGACAATTGGTGTGAGGATTTTTTTGAGTGATCCCTGTGTTTCATTCCTGTAAAACAAGGTGCTGAGCATAACGACCATAACATGTCAACTCTGGTCTCATTGTTCAAAAGGATTCTTGTTATAGAGAAAAAAAAATCCCTTCAAAGCTCTTTAAAATAGGACATACTAGCTCACTTTCTAATTTAGCTGTAATATAAAACCTGTAGTGTCTGAATTGCAGCTTTTAGGTTTCTATTCATGGTTCAAATAAGGAATGAATTGTCTGGAACATTCACTCCTGGGAAATCTTCAGTGTTTTTAAATGGTTTCCACTGGTAAAAAAAAAATAATAATAATAATAAAAAAAATAAAAAAATAAAAATTCTTCCTCACTGTGGAATAATGGATTTTAAATATTTTTCAACCATTCTTTCAATACTTCCCACATTAATCGGGTTAAGATCATTGCTGATGTCTTTCCATCCCGGCATTGTACTTACATTTACCTGTCTGCTCCAGATGAACAAACTGCAAAAGCTGCTTTTCTAAGGCTGCTCTCGCTTGCTGATTATCAATCAATCGAGCATTTGATAAACAACACCTACCTGCAAATTTCACTCTCAAGTACAAGCACTTCAGCATTTTTATGACAGTGTAGAATGTGTTGTGTGGTATTTTGTTTTTGAGCAGATGAGGACTTAACCTGGCAAAGACCAAATCATTTTTGTCCAGATATTTATTATTTATGGGCTTGAAATAATGTCTACATATAGCATTACTGTAGACATTATTGTCAGCTAACACAAAATCATTTGCACAAACTCCAAATTTAAACACCGCTTTCATTTTCTCTCCCTCACTACGCTACGTCTCTGATAATCTGCAGTTTTTTCATTGTGTTCCAAAAGTTCACAGGAGGTTGAAAAGAAATGTTTGTGCACCTCCGTCAATAAAGAAAACAACTTTGTCTTTCATCTTGTCTTTAGTTTTCAGCTGCTGAATTAAAGTTTCCCCAGTGCCTGGGATTTTAATATTATCAGAATGTTAAAAATATCAACTCTGCAACCCACTTTACTATATGCCTCATAATTTATTTATTTCATAACACCTTCCTTCCCTTTTTGGAACACACGCCATGGGATTTTCAGTTCATCCATTATGAAATAAAGAGTATTCGTGTTGCATTTATCCGTTGAACCCAGCTGAACTAAATGCTCTGCTGGCCAGTTTGCAGAAAATCACTTTCTTCTTGCCCTTCTGCCATCTCAGCACCCCTAGATTCTCATCACAAGGATTATCACCAATTCTTTTTTTCATCAGTCTGGTGCTCAACTTAGCTCGCAGTGCCTCTCTGCAACACGCAACACTGCAGCCTGTGTAGATTCTCCCTCACTTCCAATGAGCAAGACGGAGAACAACCCGGGGAGGAGGATGGCAATCTCCCGAACGCTGATCCAAACCTGATGAGCATGAAAATTGGCTCATTTTTGTCAAGCCCTTGTTCATGCTTTCAAGTGCCTCACAGATTTTTATCTGACGGTGGCAGCCGGGGCAGAGCATAACAAGAGACGATGGTGTGATATCATGATTTTTACCTCATTCAGAGACTTCAGCGTGAGGCTCGTATTCCAAGCTTCCGAGTCGACTCCGAGTCATCCTAGAAATCCAGTTTTGCGCCGTCTGACTCCCCCTTTCTTTCTCTTTCTTGCCCCTTGTCAAAAGAGAGACAGCCTTCAAAGCATCTCTTTCTTTTACTCTGCCGTGTTAGTAGGAGCCGCCTTCATTCATTGAATGAATTAAAAAAATGAGAGAGAAAATTAAAACAAAGAGATGTCAGGGTCCACGGATTTATTTTCCTCCCTCTTTTCTCTTCTTGCGCTTAAACACACCAGATTGGGCTCATGAGCAGAAACGTCAGAGTGGCAGCGATGTATGTGTTTCGCCTTCTCCTCTTCGTTCTCCCGCTCTCCCTCCCACCCTTTTCCTTGCTGATTCTCTTTGAATCCCTTTCTGCTTCACTCTGTCCGGGGCTCACACAGGAGCAGGCTGTCTTCTCATGACGGCTGAGACGCGTGCAGAGACATCTGTGAATTTGCTTATGGTGGGGGACTAAAGCAGCCGCTTAGCTGAGACTGAGACCACCCTCCTCTCCTCCCCTCCTCCCCTCTCAGAGTTGGGCTTTCTAACGGCATGTACCACTGAAGCTCGGTGCAGGGTGGGCTGCAGCACTCACAAACGGAGGGGCGAGAGGTAGCGAATACATGAAAAGGGAAAGTTCTTCAAAGAGAATGAGAGGAAAACAGAATAATATCAAGTCAAAGATTGAGAGACAAACGTAAAGGAGTCTGCTTTCTCATTTTCTGTTTAATATTTAGACTTGGTTACGGGGACAGCCTACTGTTTTTCTCCTGTCTGTCAGTTTAGTGATGCACAAATGACCTGAGTGAAATGACACTTCATTCAGACAGCTTGGACTGTTGCAAAATCGCTGTTTAAGACATGAGAACTTATGCTGGTTTTGGAAAAGGAGACGCAACTCTGGAAGAACTTACAACCGTGTAACAGAGAGATAAGACCTTCACTTACGCCTGACTGACTGCACAATGGGTCACATGCAGAAACCTCTTCTGGAAAATGGCTTGAATTAACTCAATTCTTGGGTGCAGAGAAAACCATCACGTTGTTTAAAAACTGAAGAGGAAGCCGCTGCGTGCCTCTCCAGATGCTGCTTCTGCCATGAGTGATTGGCAGCCGCCCCCCTGATGCCAGTTCTGTCCCTACATTTCCATCCTCTCAAGAAGCGCACCGTCTAATTTCAGGCGTCACTGAATAAAGAGTCTGTCTGTTGCCGAGGTGAGACAGCGTCTGGTGTGAACCTCGGGGAAAGCCATCCCACCTCCTCTGAGCCCAGAGAGCATAGCTGGCTTTCCGAAGAGTTGGAACCAGAGGAGGTGTCACAAACTCCATGGGAGCACTGCACTGGATGTCGTTCCTGGAAAAACATGACCAACAGGGATAATAAGACCAAAGAAAAATTAGACAAGTCATAATTCTCCTCCAACTTATCACATGCATGCCAATAAAGAAACTCAAGCAGAAGACATCCTGACACATTTGTTTTTAATTATGTCTTGTGTCGTATCTCATATTAAACACACCGGCTACTTTGCATTTTGCTGTCACGGTGTAATGAAAAAGGCGGCAGGCGAGAGGGAATTCAAATCACTAAATTGCTGTTTTGAGCGGAGCCACTGATGTGATGGTGTGTGCTTCTGGAAGGCTTGATAACCTGAAGAGAACAGAAGGGGAGAAAAACATCAGATGATCTAGCGACTGTGCACTACATTTCACCGCACAGTGTCATGTGGTATTTTCAGCTTTGGACTGATTGTTGGCTCAAACTCCAGCGATTTTAGTGGCAAGGTTCGAATACCATAAAAAATCTCTCTCAAACTTGCAGGGAAGAAAAATCAATTTTGAAAACCAGCCTTTTGAATATTGAAAGTCAGTGCTGGTTGTGGAAGTAAGATGGACTTGTGAATATTAGTAAAACATAGGAGAGAGACAGTTGTTAGTTAGTACAAAACTATTTGCACGTGGTGACTCCAAGGTTGCATATTCATCTAACTTTTAAACTACAGAAAAAAATATAGATCTGCTCCTAAAATAAATAATAATAGACTGTACAGTAAGAAGAAATTGAAAAACCTAAACATTAAAAAACATCATTGTGGAGTTATTAAATGTACTGTGCAGCTGAGAAGGTTAATTTCCAGAAGAAAAAAAAAATCATACAAGATGTGGATGAATAGGTTACACATGAGACAACAAAAAGCAGAGTGTTTAAAAGAAGTAAGGAAAAACAGGGACAATCACAACTATTAAAGGAATATTGAGTGTGTTTTGGAAGAAGGATCTGCAATAATGCTGCTTTGTGGTCTTAGGATGGAGTTTACATAGCTTTGGAGGAGAGTATGCCTCTATTTATATATATATATATATATATATATATATATATATATATATATATATATACATTACAGAGTAAATCAATGTACATTTATAGTGAACATTGATTTTTGATATACTAGACATGTTCAGCTCATGCAGACTGAGTTAAGTAGAAATATCATCTGCTGAAACTGGTAGGAATTTTAGTTCAAGAATCAAAAATGGGAAATAGAGCTTCTCTGGCTGCTGTCTTTACAAAATACATGGTGTGGACATTATGTGAATTAAATCTTAATTTTTTGCAAATTTCTGGAATAAAATAAATTGTCTTAGCTATGTTAAAAACTCTTTTTGCTGCTTTTTTAAATTCTGAACTGAAACCTTATGATAATGGAACATTTCAACTTTGAATGCATTTTATATTTCCTCTTAAAATGATTGCTTGTAAATAAACTGACTCTAACCTGTGGCATACCTTATTCTTTGTTTTGGAATAGGAATTTATCTCTTACTTGGAAACATCAGTCAAAGCATTTAAAAAAAAAAATAGGAGGATGATGATAAAATGAGACATTGCACACTAATCTAAACGTCCCTTGTTGCAACTTCTGTGCAGTGGCTAATAATGACGCAGTGATGGGCATGGAAGAGAGGCACAGAACAAGAGAAACGACCTCACTGAAATCAAAGACAAGTCTCATCATTGCGCTTTGAGAGTCGCTAGCATAGCTTAGATTTTTCTTTTCTATATATAATTTTGTATTCCGGTAAACTTTGTTTTTATCTCTTCATGGACTATGGGTAAAGATGGGCTGGCTAATAAGGTAATAATACTCTTAAAAATGAATAAAAGTGTTTAAGAAAATCTAAAATTTGTGTGTATTCACATAACCGAGGAATGGCATGAAAAAAGTAGAGCATCTTCTCAGCTCTAGTCTGGAACAGGCGGCAGCGGCAGCGTTGTTTATTTGGCTGGCATGGGCGGCCATGGTTGGTGAAGCTGTGCTCCTTTTCTCAGCTCTGGGCTGGAGCTGCTCATGGGCTGCATGTTTTTCCCTCTGAGGAATGGCAGCCAGAGACAATGTCTATATTGGGGAAACCATATTTCAAAGCGTCCTTCTTCAAAATTATGAATAAGCCAGGTTCGAAGCTTATTCATCCAGCAGGAAATACAATTACCAGATACACAAAACATAATACTGTATATATTTTGAATCCTGAGCTCCTTGGTAGGGAGCAGGCCTTCCTGTGTCAGCAGGAAGAAAGGGGAGCTTCGTGCTTGTCTCCTTGATGCCTTCCCAATGGATGACGGGTGTAGAAACGAGGACAAGTTTGTTCCAGAGCTTGCTTTTGTTAGCCTGGTATCACATCACGCAACAAATCTCCTCCACTTCCTGTACAACTGAAAGTAGGTTACTGCAGTGCATTGTGGGATTAATAGTCCTTCTACCAGCCTCCTGTAGTTCAGTCCTTTCAGGGATGAGGCAAAACACCTTTCTCAATAATGAATAATTTCTTAAATTTTTCATAGTTGCTTTCTTGAGAAGGATTTTCCCCCATAAGCCATCTGCTGTGTCATTTCAAGCCTAATAAGAATGAAACTGAGATGCACTGGAGTTCAGCGGATGATAAAGACTAGGCCGAGGCCAAACAAACACACACACTCACACAGGACAAGGACAGCAGATGGAAAGGGCCCCGTAATGGTGCCAACGCTGGAGCCAGGCCTAGTGGGCAAGGCCCAGTGGCCTCATTGGAAGTCTATTGATATGTGATGTTCTAACAGACTCTGGGCAGTGAATTTGAATTCAGACAATGTAGTCCAGCTTTGACTGGCAAAATACAACTACTGTGGGAGTTGTTACACTAATGTCTTTCTTTAGTAAATGATAAGTAAATTTATTTTATTTTCTTCTGAACCACACTCTCACAGAGACATGCAAAATTATCACTCGCATCCATTTTTTTTCAGATTGGATGCATTGAATGGTGCATAGAACAATTTTTATTTGCATAACCCAATATATGGCAGTTTGGGATAATTTTGTCCTAACTGATTAAAAAAGTTTCACAGTTGGCCTAGATGACTGAATTTAGATTGTAATTTTAATTTCAAATACTAACCTTGAAAATCCCGAACACTCATGTGAACATTATATGGGCACTTATTCATTAGAAAACTCTGTAACAAGTACGCAAACATAAGTCTCTTGTCCTGCTGCTATTGGGTGTAGCTACAGATGTACAAGCTAATTGTACAACTTTTTACACATTTGGTAGGAAGAAGTTACACATCATCATGGTAAAATATATTTTCTGAAAGCTTTTGTAAGGAAACACTTGAGCTGTCAAAAGCTTTTTGACTTCAGTCCAATGTGCATAAGAGCTCCACATAATTGTGTATTTTGATGTCATGTGAAATAGCCCAGAGGCACATACTCACCGGGAGAGAGGAATGACAAAGTGAGAATGGAAAAGGGTCATGTCAGGGCTGTGTCACATGCAATTATGCTTCTCCGAGCTGCATGCCGGAGAGTGCAAAATGCATATTTGTGACTAATAAAACCATGAAGCCCAGCTTTTCATTGCATTCTGAAGTGTATCACTCATGTTTTTTTGTTTTTTTTTCCCAACTCCACCTTTCTACAGTAAGTCTCCCTGAAGTAGGTAGCTGACGGTGTCCTGATGAGGTAGTTAGAAACAATAATGGATGGTAGAAAATCTACTTTCAACAGGCTTCCTGTGTTCTCAGTCTTAGGCGATGTCATCACCTGTGAAGGCGTACGTTGCTGGATGACTAAAGGTGGAGTTGAATCCAATATTTCAGGGTTATATGCTTTAAAAGGAGGTGCATTATGCAAAACTGACTTTTTTGAGCTTTAAAATACCATTTTCTTATCAACACAGAGTGTTGCTTTGATTCTTTCATGCATTTTTGAGAAATCCTTGAAATTTCTGGTGGTGATGGTGGTTTTAATGGTGATACGGATTAATCTCTGATCTATAAATGATATAGGAGCAGTTCCTTCAGCCAGGCACCGCCTAGTACTCACCTCCCAACTGCATTACCTTTTTTCATGTTTGACTCACTGACAACAGGAGGAATTAAACCTGTATACTGGTTTCTTAGGCATCTCCCCTCTGAAATTTGGTGCTGCACTCCTTCTAACTTGCAAAAGAAGTCTACAGTTCCTCAATATCAAGTAAAAAT